GGTTGAGAGTGGCTGTCGGTGGCTCTCGAATGGCCGACTCAGCTTGTGCTCACGCGCCCTCTGTGTGGCGCGGTGGATCTCCCCTTGTCAGTCGGTCTCGGGAGAATTCTCGATGGTGAAGGCGTGAGGGGATGCCGTGACCCCCATGTTGATCAGCACACCATGCCGGTTCACATGGTATCAGACTTGCCCTTGTCCGGTCGCTCGCTGTGGAGAAAACAGTTTGTTTATGTCTTCTCTAACCCATTTCTCGCCCGCATGAGACTGCGGGCCGAAAATTTTGACACTGCGTTGCAGCCCGTCTCAGACCGGTCCAGATGCACACACACCCGAGCGGGTCCACGAGACCCCCTATTCTTCGATAGGGAACGCCCCCATGCGTCCGTCTCCTGTCCTTCACCTTGAGACTCGCTTTGCATTGCTTTGCTTTGCATTGATTGTTTCCCCTTCCTCCGTCTCCTGTCCTTCACCTTGAGCCTTGCTTTGGCTTGGCTTGGCTTTGCTTGTCTGGGGCACTGGGCCCCGTGGGGCCAGGTAAATTTGCGAAGGTTTGTGGCTTTCGAGTTTTGCTGGGCTTTGGCGAGCTTTGCTTGGCTTTGTCGTGGGACCCTCTCGGCATGCCCCCAACTTTTCGCTTAGCGCTTTCAGCACAGAGAGGGCTTTGCTCTGCTTCGCTTTGCTCTCCATCGCTCATTGACCCTCCATAGAAAGGTTTGTCCGTTGGTTTGCTTTGCTCGGGCCGGTTTGCTAGGTTTGCTTTGGGGGCTGTAGCCGCTGCACACTTGCCCACCCCACCCGTCCATCCATCTGCATTGTGCGCAGGTGGGGTGATGGCGGCGTTCCAGCAGCGGATGTCGCTCGGGCCCCAGCAGATGACCGCCGCCTCCCATAGATGACGGCCGCCGCCATTGGAACCATCGACGACGCCCGCACCATGATCCTCCAGATGAAATCCGGCAGGAAGGCCACCCAGACAGAACGACGGAAGGCGAAAAGGCGTGTGCGTGGTGTGTGCGGCCGTCTGTCTGTCTGTGTGCAGGTAGAGATCGGTGCGTGGCGTTTGTGTCGCTGAGGAGGCGGCCACGCGGCGGGGGCGTGGCCTTTCGCTTCGAGTGGGTCTCTGCTGAGGAGGGGAATCACATAGATAGTCGACGGGCAGCTCTTCTGCGAGAGCAAGTACGGCAGCAAACAAACCTGAGAGATAGTACAAAAAGGACGCAGGGAGGGGGAGAGAGAGAGAGGGAGAGAGGGAGAGAGGAGGGGACCGACAGGCGGCTGACTAGATGTGTGGGTGGCTAGATGGGTGGAGAAATGGATGGAGGAATGGATGTGCCTGACACGTGTACTCACTCTGGCGAGTCTGTGTGTGTGTGTGTGTGTAGCATTAGACTCGATTGAACCTTTAAGAGGGAGCCTCGACGGAGTTTTCGACAGTCGATGGTGTCTGTGGGTCAGCACCAGCGCCAGCACCGACAATGCCCTGATGAGTCACACACACCGACGCACTAGTGCAGCGAATGTGCGTTAGATGCGTATGCGTCAGAAATCGTTTGTTGAACGGCCATGCAACGAAAGGTCTCATCTTCAATCGACACACCTCAGACCAGTCTCTCTACCCCCGCTCCGCTCATGAGATGCGGCCCTCAATGGTAGCTGTACATGGCCCCCTCTCAGTCGACATCACCGCACTATCATATGTCCCTCTCTGCACCAACACACACACACGGACATAAAGACAGGAAACAGACACACATTGTCCAAACGCCTTGCGTGATGGCCTTTTCTGGCAGGTACCAGTTGATCATCGGTTCTGAGTTTGGATGCGACCTTTTCGAAGGCCCTGTTGGCCCTGTCACCAGGCTGATAGGGCTGCCTTTGGTACCCATCAACCCGGACCGCATCACCTGCAGTGGACAAGGGAGAGCATCCATGTGGCACACCAACGGCGCTGCAGCCAGTGATTTGACCTACCAGGTGCGGATCCTTCTGGCGGCCTCAGTGGCTCCACCTGACACGCCACAGCAGTTCCACAGCACACCGATGGACCGATGGAGCGATATACTTGCACAGAGTGTGTGTGCATCCCGACTGAGCCCACCGTTGTCTTGCTTTCGTCGGACGCGCGCATCAGCATCCCCCGCGACTCGACCCCTCTCATCATGCGAGGTTTAAGGTTGCAGAGCACAATCACGTCCCGCCCCTGCAGCTCCTCTGGCGAACAGTACTTGACCAGACCGCTCACAATCGTCCGGGGCTCGCCTTCCCCTAAATCAATCTGCTCGATGTAGAGGCTGTCGGCGTCTGGGTGCTTCTCCACAGACGAGATGCGACCTGCATGCAGTCAATCAGACAGGGACCTACACATCAATATTGTTGCACTGCGTATCATTGGTCGTTCTCACCGACTCTCATGTCAAGCCGCGATATGTCCCCGACCTCTCCAACCTCCTGCCGAGGCGTCTTGAAGGCGGCTGAGGCCAGCAGCGCCTCAGACCCTCCTTCATGGGCCGCGGCTGCCTCCCCGACGCCATACACCATCACAGAATAGTCGGTGTCTGGCCTAAGCCCGGCCAATCGACAGATGCCACCTTGCATACTGGTGAAGACAAAAGAGGCCAGGGGGGCAGAGGTGCTGTCGGTGCCGTAACGCACCCTGTACAGCGGAAAGGAAGCCAGATCTGACGATACAAGGCTGATGGACGTCGGGGAGAGAGCCGCCACAGACACCTGCACGCAGAAACGAAGCATTGCTACAGTGCAGGAAGTGATCTGCATCGGCGTGCCGCTGATTCGTCATCACCTTTGCGTCGTTCTGCATCCTCAGAGATGGCCTCTCTCGTCTGCATGGCAGGGTAGATCTCATTGCGGAGAGCTGGAAACTCATCACAAATGACGACAACGACAGCGCCAGTGCTGTGATCAGGCTCTGAAGCGCACTCATTCTCGCCTTGCATCTGCGAGCTTAGCGGCGAGCTTACAAACAAAGATCCCTCGATAGCAAAATGCACTCTGTTTCTCTGTTCGGGCTCGTGTGCCAGGCCATGACGTCGTGGTGTGCAGCGTCTTCTTTCCTTATCAGTCCGACACCCGATGGCGTCTGGAAGGTCGCTGGTTCAACAGTCAGAGGTCCTCGAATGCCGTCAAAAAGACCGCCAGCACTGCTGGCGATGAGTGCAGAAGTGCCGGCTAACGAGGCGCCTGTTCTGATCAGCAGGAGGCAACGGCACTCATCGGGTGCCGCCGCTGCTGCTTCACTGTTGGTGGCTTCTCTGTTGTCAAATGACGCTGCTGCGGCGGAGGCCTTGGCGCCCTTTACTTGGACGAGCCCGTACCCCGATGACACAGATGTATCGCTCAGCCTCGAGCTACCGAAGGTGGGCGGGGCGCAGATCGGACAGCGGTGTATGCCATGTTGTGGATCTTGTGTGTGTGGTTCACTCAGGAGTGGTCATTGCAAGGGCCTCTCAACGGAGGCATGACAGGCTCCAAACTCTTCATCGCGACCGACCCACAGGTCAGTCAATTGCCGCCGAGGTATCCGGCCAAGATCTCTATCTGTGTGTGTGCCTTCCTTCCTTCCCCCTGTGTGCAGGACGAGAGCAAAAGGTCCATTCTGATCAACCTGATCCCCCTGCGTGGCGACTTCGCCTCGATCGGCTCACTGGGTGGCCCGTCGAAGATCCGTGAGATCATCACAGGCGGTGTGGCCGAGGGCGACAGTGTGAAGCTGCTCGCAGAGGAGATGCGGAGTGGGAATGCCTATGTGGAGCTGATTCAATCGACGTCTGAGAAGCCCAAGATGCACATGCTCAGTGTGTGGACACTGATGCAGGGCGGAGGCCGCAATTGGCTGGGGAGCGTGACGCTTTCTGTGCCCGAGGACTCCTTTCCCGCCTTTAAGCCGACCAGCGATGCCATCGTCAAATCGTTGAAGGTCACACAATCGTCAAACAGATAGAGGGGTGGGGGGTGGTGGGAGCTTTCTGTCGTGAATGAGTGGTGACTGTGCTCCGTCTGTCTTGAGCGAGAATGAGTGCATTCACTGAACAAAGTGAAGAGACACTGAGATTTTTTTTTTGCCTCTGCGTTCACGTCACGCTGTCATGCTTTATTCGTGCTGCTGCTGGAGTGGAATGGGTGGCTACTTTGCGTCTTGCTGTGCACTCGCTGCGTTCATTGGAGGTCCCTGCAAAGGTCTTAGTTACATCATGTAATAAAAGCTCCACACACCACACCCACGCAGACAGACAGAAATACCTGCTGGCTTGAGAAAGGCTGCCTGCCCCACAGCGACCGGCACACTCACTAGGTAGGGGAAACTTCCAGCCATGCACCTCCCCTCCACCCTCCCGTGCAAATTAGATAAAAACACACCACAGATGCACGTGTGTCATGCAGGACACCGCCCCATCCCGCCCCATCCCCTCCGTCACAAAAAACGTAAATGATGTCCCACGGCTCTGGCCCGGCCCCGGCTGTAGATAGATATTTGGCACGCAGAGGGCTATCTTTCGCCCTCCCCCCTCGGCTGCCTGCCTGCCTGCCTGCTGCCGCAACAGGACGTGTGGACGTATGGACGCACACATGATAAAACTGCACAAACACTTGACCAGCCATCCAGCCATCGCATAGACACGCACACAGACACACAGGGACACACAAATACACTCACTACCCTCACAGACCCACGAACGTCCACACACACACCCATCCATCCATCCATCCATTGATTCACTCGTGATAAAGCCAGGCACGCACCGAACGAAGGCATGACGGCATGAAGGCATGAAACAGCGGTGGGACCGTTGCTTCAATTTAGTTGGTCCGTGAGCAGCTCCAGCGCCTGCTCCTCCATCTGCCGCCTCCTGGCCGCCTCGACAGACGGCATGCACCCGCCCAATCCCCTCACCGTCGCCTGCCAGTCGGCCAGCAGCTTGGACGCCCACGAGGCCATGTCGAAGCCCCTCAGGGCGCCACACTTGGCCTCCTGGTGCGGCGGGGTGGCGGCCTCACGGACTTGTTGTGTGGCCACTGAGGAGCCGGGCGATGACTCAATCGCATCGCTGCTCAGCGAGGAGACCATGCTCACCTCTGAGCATACACACAGCACGCACAACACAGATTGTAGATAGGTGGCAGGCGTGAATGGTGTTTGTCGTGTCGCACCTCTGTCGAGGAGATCGAGCAGAGGAAACTCCAGCGGGGCGCTGGCCAGGCCCTTGTCGTCGCCTTTTGCGGCCCCAGACGCCATGGCCCGAGAGATGCGATGCTGACACACACACGCCAAGCTGAGTGAGCGAATCGTCACGTGTCCTTCAGTCGCATTGTGCCTGTCTCTGTCACCTGGATGTCCTTGGCGGCCTGCAGTTTGGCAGGCATGCGGTCAGCGAACTCACTGCCAGACTCTGCGAAGCCTGCCGCCTTGGCAAGGGAGAGGAAGCCGTGCAGACCAGCGATCTTGGATATATAGATCTGGAGGGACGCTGCACACACACACACAAAGAGAGGGAGTCCATCGCAGACTGCATGGCAGGGTGTGGTGTGCTATGTATCGGCTGACTTGGGAGTGCGAATTTGACGTCGACATTTGAGATGGCCTCGAGGTATGTGGAGTTTGCGGCGGTGGGCTGGACGACAGAGATGCTCTTGCGCATGTGGCCTCGGATGACGCCGCGGGGAGGGGCTGCCACAACTCTGCCGGCCATGTCGGGCGGGGGAGACGACTCGTCGACGCTGTGCATACACGCCCAGATGCGGCCCGAACCGTCTACACACACACACACACACACACACACACAGAGACGGGCGCAACGCAAGAGCATCCAGCCATGGTCAGACAGGCATGTTGTCAATGATGCGTTGCCCTTACCGACGGTGTTGCAGTAATCGACAACGAACTCTCGTGGGCTGAGGACGATGGGGATCATTTGCAGCGTGTAGACGCACGTGAGGGTGCTGCTGCCTCTGGGGGTCTTCATGGGCACCAGGGAGGCCTTGGACACCATGGGCATCCAGCTGGGCACCAGGGTCGGCTCCGTGACGACGTGCAGCAGACGGAGGTAGCTCACGTCCACCACGCCGCCCACACGAACCGTCACAGACCTAACGCACCAACCATACACACCACAGGCACCACACACAACACAACACAATGATACCAATCAGTGACACAACTCAACCTTCCTTTCTCTTTGCCTGCCTCACCCCACCTGGCCTCGTCGTTCTCCTGTCGGTAGTAGACTTTGATGCCCTTCCTGCCCGCCGGGATCTCTGTCCACCCGCCCCCCTCGCCCATCATCTCGCTCGCCTCCCTCAGCTCCCTCAGGCGACTCACACACATGACAAACGCCCGCTGCCTCGTCACCCACGACCACACTCGCCGCGCCTCGCTGCCCCGGCACTGCCGAAACAGGTATTCCCGCAGGTCCATGAAGAGCGTCTGCGTCTCGAGGAGGAGGCCCTTGTGGAACATCAGCTGGCTCTTCTTCAGACACGCGTGAGCGTGGGCGAGGACCGGACCGTTAGCAATGGGGCTGTCACGCTGCGAGTCCGTTGTGGAGCCGCTGCTGGACGAGCCATCCTGAGGGGAGGTGCTGCCCGACTTGGACTTGACCTGCACACACCACACACACACAGACACCATCCTGGCAGGGCCCTCACTGGTTGGTACAGGGTGGTGGCACACGTGGTGGTAAAGAGCCATCTTGCCCCTGGAGCCGCCGCAGGGCGCAGGAAAGGCCACCGGGCGGACAAATTCCACCTTTTCGGGCCAAAAGCAGACACGCAGCACCAAGAGAGTGACGTTTCGAACAAGCCATTCCAGCACCCCCTGCAGCAACTCAAAAATCTTCTCAGCCACTACTGGCGCCATGGTGGCGTGCCAGTCAGGCGCTGCTTGCCTCCTCCTTCGCCCTCTGACTCCCACTTCTAAGCTCGCAGAAGTTGAGCTTGCAGCTTTTCTTTTGGACGCGAGTAGGTTTGCAGCATCTAAATGTCCAGAAGCAAGTGCCCATACGCTGTTCGGCTCGTCGGCTCTCGTTAACGACGACTTTATTGATCTGCAGATCAATGGTGAAGATCTGCGTGTGGCTGTGCTTGGCGCTGTGGAGTGTTTTCACACGCCTGACGCAAGCCTGGCCGTATCAAGGTGAGACCATCGCACCAGTCGATCTCATGACATTCTTTGATTCATTGTGTGCGTGTTGCTGCAGAGCTGGACGCCATTTCGCTGCAGAGAGTTCATCACAACTGCACGGTTGGCGCGCCCGTCTATGTGAGGGACTTGGTGACCGACACGGGCCTGGTGCTGTTTGCAATACGGAGGCCGAGCTGTGTCGTGTGCCGGCGGGATGCCACGGAGATGCAGAGCTTCGTGCGGTCGGGGGCGTGGGAGTCCTTCGAAGCTCACCCCCATCTGCACATTGGAGGCGGCGCTGAGGCGGGCGGCGGGCAGCCGCAACAGAATGCAAAGGCCAAGGGTGTCGGGCCGCCTCGTTTCGTGACTGTTGTCCGGTCTTGCGAGGAGCTGTCTGTGCTCATGAGGCAGCTCAAATGTATAAGAGGGAGGCAACAAGAGAGAAGCGACGAGTTTGGATCGGTGCCTGTGCTGTGTGGTTTCAGGTGGTGAGGTCTTTCTTGACCCGCTGGGGTCCATTTACAAAGGCTTAGGCTGTGGCGCCTTCTCTCCTGGCGGCCGTCGGGGTGGCAGTGGGAATGCCAATTTCGCTGCGGGAGGGCTGCTTGTCCTTGCTCCCAATGGGTGCGTCATCCTCGAGGTCGGAAGGCTGGCTGCTCACAAAACACATTCGCAGAGGACGCATCCATTCTGTCCTTCTGTGCAGAAAGCTTTTCCATTCCCCCACGGCACACTCTACGGCAAGAGTGAGGACGTGTTGGTCGACACGAAGGTAGCTCTCCAAGGGGCACTCAGGACACTGCAGAGCATCGTTCTCAGCAACAGGCAGCGGCGAGAAGACAACGTGCAGCGACAGAGGGAGCGGAGCGTCTCCCATGGACGACAAGGGGCGGGTGGAAAATTATCGGTGGTCAGGCCTCTGTTTCGGTTGAAGGACAGAGGACGTGTCAAAGGCAGGTAGTAGGGAGGGACGAATGGCTCCTTTGGCGGTGTGGCGGGTCGGCTTCTGTGCATGTGTGCATGCGGGAGGCGTTTGGTGCTCCGATGTCAGCATTTTTGTGTGACGGCTGTGAGAGACAAGATGCGGCTGTAGATTAGGTAGCTGTCGGTGTGTTGGTGACGGGGGATGCAAGTCGGCTGCATCTAGGTACCATTGAAATGTACTGATGGTGTCTGTACTGTACACCTGCCGCACCGCGCCGCACTGTCTCTCACACCATCACTCTTCACAAATTGACATCAAGGCACAATCCAATCAACATGCACTCGCCATCACGACATATGGACTCATACACCACACCAAATCGACGACTCGCCTAAGGAGGGAGGCCACTGCTGCACGCCTCCCTCCTCTCTGTACTCAAGCCACAACAGCGGAGGCCCTGCCGTCAATCGGCACCCTCGCACGTCTTCGCAGCCGCTGTCATGCTCACATCCTCCTCCACACGCATCCTCTTGGCGTCCCTCTCTGACGAATCGTCCTGCCCCTCCCTCTCCATCTCATCAGCTGCCGGTGTCGGAGGGCCCCTCCGCTTCCCGAGCCCGCTGCTAACGCCGCCCTCTTCGCCGCCCATCACATTGTCATACACGGTGCCGAGGGCCTCGCCGCCGCCATCAGGGATCAAGACCATCTGCTTCAGCTCATCTGCTGAGTAATGGCGCGTCAGCATGCCCCTAAGAGCGTCAGACAGGGGGGCCGCGATGCCTGGTGGGGGGACGGGGGAGTAGGGAGGGAGGGGCGGGATGAAGAATGACTGATAGTTGCTGCGGAAGTGGTCGATGAGCTGCCGCCCGATGCCCTGTCGCTGCCGGTCTGGGCGGACGAAGACGTTGAGGAGCGTCACGGTGTGGTAGGCACCCTCCTCATCCTCGCGGCTGCACGGGGCGAGAGAGTAGAAACCCATGGGGATTCCACGCTGCCACAACATGAAAGTCGGGGTGGTGCTCCTCACACCTGAACGGCACGGTATACACGCGCACGCTGCCCATCTTGCAATCAGTCCATCCATCCATCCATCCATTTGCCGGTGCACGCCTACCCATAAGGAAGCCGACTCCTTTCCCCCACGTAATCGCCGTCAGGTGGATGCCCGTCAAGAGCAGGGTGACGCGCAGCCGGTCCACATGCATGCCAGTAGGCACCTCGACAATGCCATCTCTGTCCTCAGGGGCCTTCAGCACACAAGGCAGCGTCCACCAACGATTGCCGATGTAGATGCCAGCCCAGAAATTGCAGCCTTCGCACTGCCGCACGTGGAGAGCCATCGAGTCGGGCGCATCTCTGACGGGCTTCACGTGTGTGAACCATCCTCGAAATGCCGCAGATAGCTGACATGACGCCCCGCACTTGAAGCATGTCACGTAAGAAGCAGGATCAAATGTGCTGTCGAGGCTATCTGGCTGCTGCTCGGAGAGATCACAAGGCCCGCCGTAGCACGCTGCAGACAAAGCAGAGCAATCAGTGAGCAGCACATGAGTGTGTGTCCGCATCGGTCCGCCACTCAGTCCTTCCTCCGCTGCTCACCTGCGGCTGTTTGAGATTCACTGAGCCGTCCAAATGCCATTTGGCTCTCCCTGTTCATTGCCGCTTCTGCCGATGCTCAACCTGGCCTACGACAACCAATCAATGCAACCAATAGAACCCCTTTCCATCGAAAAAGTCAATCAGTTCATGGACACAGCATCTGCCCTCAGGGCCGGGACCTCGGTGTCCGGCAAGAAACGAACGAACGAACGAACGAACGTCTAGAAGCTTAGCTCGCAAAGCAAGCTCGCAAAAGCGTGAAGAGAGCAAGAGGGAGAAGGGAGCTGCCGTGGTCTTGCTGTAAGCATGTGTCCACACGTAGACTCATCTCATGAATCAAACCGGTGCTCCTTTGTGTGTGTTCAGATCTGCTTGAGTCTTTCGGCTGGAAACTAGAAGCTTAGCTCGCAAAGCAAGCTCGCAAAAGCGTGAAGAGAGCAAGAGGGAGAAGGGAGCTGCCGTGGTCTTGCTGTAAGCATGTGTCCACACGTAGACTCATCTCATGAATCAAACCGGTGCTCCTTTGTGTGTGTTCAGATCTGCTTGAGTCTTTCGGCTGGAAATGAAGTTCTTCATAGGCTTGTTGGCGGCGGTGCTCCTCTATCGAGAGGCGGCCGCACACCCGTCACTTTATCCACCGCCTCGACGCGCAGACGGCAGTGTCCTATGTGAGGATGCACAGACCGAGGCCCAGCTGGAGAGCATCCCCTACCACTCGTACCACATCCACACAATGTTCTGGCAGGTCAGAAGGACCAATAATTGGACTGCTTCATTGCACTTGACGGTGTTTCTTTTCTGTCTGTCTTGTGTGTCTGTCTGTCTGTCTCTGTGTGTTTGTTTTGTGTGTGTGTGTGTGTGTGTGTTGGTGCCTGCAGAACAACGAAGAGCACACGAAGGGCGCCGAGAGGCTGAAGGAGCGGCTGGTGACGCACTTCAACATCACCAACCACTGCACCTCATTGTTCCATCAGAACACCACGTGCTACTTCGAGACCGACTACTCTCCCGCCGGACCGTTCCTCGTCGGGCAATGGGCCATCTATGTCCATGTGAGCTCCCTCACCTTAACACAGACGCGCATTGGCTCATGTCTGTCTGTATGTTTTCATGTGTTGGCTGTCATCCTCCTGTTGCTGGTGCCGACAGCTGGAAGACTTTGCGCCGCTCGCACAGTGGATATCGCAGCATAGAGGGTACGGGCTGCACACAGCTCTGCAAGCAAACGTGACCTGGCTGGATGCCTCGTGATTGCCTCTTCGTGTGTGTCAGGATATACGATGTGCTCATCCACCCCAACAGCGGGGTAAGAAGCGCAGAGAGAACCATGCGTGCGGGAGGCGGCCTGCCGTGCACATTCTGTGTGTCTTGTATCTGCAGTGTGCGGTGAGGGATCATGAGGACTGGCCCTTCTGGATAGGGACGCCATGGCAAATCGACCTCAAGGTGTTCCGACACTACAAGATGCCCTGGGGGCCCATTGATCCTGCCTCGCCGGAGTATCCCAAGCACGGCCCCTCCACACCCCCATACACGCAACGGACACACCGGCTGATGAGGGGATAGACACATGCCCTTCATGGGGAACGTCTGGCGAGATGCAAGCAAAGCTGTGGTCAGTGTAGTTTTTTCGGTTGTGTCGGGTACATTTGACGAGAGGGGCGTAGACGGGGGCGGGCCGTAGACACAGAGAGATGATGTGTGTGAGAGTGCACGAGGTCGGTTCCTTTTGAAGAAAGGATGGTCAGACAGACAGACAGACAGACAGACATTCATCCGGCGCGACGCGTATCGATTGCATAATGCGAGTGGGCGCGACGCGTATCGATTGCATAATGCGAGTGTGTTGTCTTTGTTTCAAGACAGTGTTGATACATGCATGACCACCATATGGACTGCGCTACATGTATGTGTGTGTGGCTGTCCACAAAGCATGGCCGAGACTACGCTACGTGCCTTGCACGTCAATGTGGCTACGTGTGCAAAACTAAACTCTACAGAACGAGGAAGAGACATCAGCAGCTTGTCAGTGGATTATCTACGCACACGCCTGTCAGCTAATGTGTGTGGTTCAGAAGAGAGCAACGAAGACCGCACTGCATAGAGCAAGAGGGAGGAGGGACGCCGAGAGGGCCAGGGCGCCAGAGTCGTCGTCATCGTTGTTGTTGTTGTTGTTAGTGGGTGCTGGCGCCGCGGTGGTCTGCTGGGAGGGGGGGTTAAGGGGGTCGACAGTGGGGTCGTCGTAAATGACCTCAACCTGCACACGCAAGGCACAGAAATGGGTGAATGGCCAGGGGATCCCCTGTGTGGGTGTGTGTTTGCTGACCACTTCAGCTGTGGGGATGCTGTCGTCCGTGTCGACGGTGAGTGTGGCGTTGCCCTCCACCACAGTGTCGAGAGTGGTTGTCTCGTCGAGTGCCTCCCCCACAGCAGCGTCGAGGTCGCCACTCGCCTCGGCCATCTCAAGGGCCGTGTCCAGCCCGTCGTCCGTGGCATTCACCGTCTGGATCACAGTCGTCACGTCCACACTGTCATCCTGCATACACAACCAAACAAGGCGCCATAAAGACAAATCCATTTGGTGATTGTCCGTGTGTCTTGTGTGTCTGACGGCGGTCTGCAGCCTTCTGAGTCGGAGGAAGACGGGCTTGGTGACGAGGAGGCGGGCGGTGGCGGCGTCGGACGTCTCGCCGGTGCAGGTGGGCGAGTCTTGGCACGACATGAGGTTATACGATCCCACGCAAAAGTCGTACTCGCAGCCCTCGCAGTCGACGCTCTCCTCCATGTTCTCCTCCAGGTTGGTCGCCAACTCCTGAGAAAGGAACAACAGCCTCGCCTTGGTACTGTGTCTCTCTCCTCCATGTGTGGGTGTCATTTCACCTGGCTGGTGACGCAGTTGTTCTTGAGTTTCTGCTCCGACAGGCCGCCCACGCGGGTCTTGAGCTCGTACCTCTTGGCCTTGGACAACACGGGGCACTTGGTGAAGATGTCCTTGCATCCGCTGGCGGCAGCCGGGCCCTCAGGCGTCTTGAAGCGGTTCTCCTTGGCATCACTCTTGCCCTCGGTCTTCGCCTCGGCCTTGGCCTCATTCTTGGCCTCCTCGCCCGCCTCACCTGACGGCAGGGGAGTGGTCTTCGCGTCATCCTGATGGGACAACAGAAGAGGAGAGACACGTGCCGATGTCGACTGATCTCAACACATGGAACGCACACCTTTGGTTCCTTGGCAGCCTCTGTGGGCGTCTGGAGCTCACGGAGCTTGGGCGACTGCTTGGCCTCACGGTGCTTGCTGACAAAGGACTGGTAGTAGAGACCGGCACAACAGCCGTACTCGTCGATCCTTGCGTTGATGCCCTCGCAGTCGCCTGACGATAGACAAACCCATCACAACACAGGGGGGGGGCATCAGATTGCCAGGTCTTCGTTACTAGTCTGGATTTGCTGCAGTCGCTCTGCCACGCCCTTGACGCCCTTGTCTCCCGGCTGTTTCTTGGCCGCCTCCCTCATGGCGTCCATTGAGGCATTCCCCTGTGTCATGTCCGTGCCGTTCATTGCAGTCATGTCGCAGGCTGGTGGAGCGTCGCCCTTGGCGCCCTCTGCGGGCTCAGGGAGCAAGTCGACGAACTGCACAACATGCATAGCTCAGGTGTGTGTACCATCCAGCCAGGCTCAATCGCAGGCGTCTCCCTCTGTTTGCGTCTGTGGATGACCGACCTTGTTCCAGCTGACACACACAGACACAAGAGCGTATGTATTGTGTGTGTGTGTTGGTTGTGTGTGTGTGTGTGTGTGTGCGCCCATCCATCCGTCCATCCATCCATCCATTGACGTACCAGTAGGTCTTGCCAGCCTGACGGAAGAAGCGGTCCGACAGACAGACAGACAGACAGAGCGTCTCCTTGCGTACTGATGTTTGTGCGTTTTCTTCTCCCTCCTGCCCACCCTGGCACACATCATCTTGTAGTCCTGAGCCTTGCCCCGGGGCGTCTTGTTGCCCCTGACGTCCTTGGGCTTGCCGCCCATGACGCCGAGAAGCAGCCTGGTGTTGCTGTACCAGCAAGGATTCGCACACAGGGCGGCCAGGTTGACAACACTCTCGTTCAGGGGTGCTGCAGGATGGATAAGAAGGGGACAGGTTAGATAGATAAAACGGACGAACAGCTTCCCCATTCCCTCTTTTGTTACCGTGGTCGACAGTGACGGTCTCGAGGATCTCCAGGTGCTCAGCGTACTTGGACAGGCACCACGGCCCAGCATCCTGAACAACGCACACAGACGGAGAATCGCAGTAAGGATCCTACTGCCTGCCCTTCTCCCTTCTCTGTGACCTTTTTGCAGATGGAGTCGAAGACGGTGGTGATTTTGCGAGCATGGGCGCAGCCAGCTCCCTTGCCAGTGGCGTTGTTCATCCCCTCCTTGAGGGCCTCCATCGCTTGGGCATAGCAGCCTGACACGACGAAAGCAGCATGACATCGTCCTTAGGGTACGTGCTGTATCCGTCGATGTGTCAGCACCCGTGGATGCATCGCAAACGGTGCTGAGGAGTGTCTCGGACGAGGCCAGCTCCAGGATCTTCGTGAAGTTTGTCGCCAACGAAGAGCATATCTCACCCTGGCCTGCGTATCCACACATGTGAAGCGACGCAGGCAGCGATAGACCATCCATCCGCTCATGTGCAACGATTCCCCTTACTGGCGACGCCTTCGGCGAGTTTGGTGGTGGCCATTGTGAAGGCTTGGCAGCAGCCCTGGTTGGGCGCATTAGCGCAGCCGCTGCCGGAGGGGGGGACGAGGTCGAGGGGGCTCTTTGTCTGAAGGTAGCTGCTTGTCAATCCGAGCGATTCGGCGATGCCCTCCACTCTCTGCTTGTCAATCGCCTTGCGACATCTCTTTTCCTGAGCAGACACACACAGGGAGCAAACGAAAAACCTGCCGTTCAGCCGTCCTTATTGCCATCTGTCCATGCTTACGGGTGCCCCATGGTGGTCAGAGAAGACAGCCGAGCAAAAGAGAGCGAAGAGGGCGAGGCGGAGCTGCATCGTGTCTGGGGGTGGGGTGGGGAGGGATTGCAATGCAGAGAGGTGGCGTTAAGCGCTGACTGTCGGGAAAGACACTGGCTGGTGGTCGCTTCCTCTCGAACGGGGGGCGAACGGAATAAATTGGGAATAAATAGATCGGCTTGTCCGAGGGAAAGCGCGTGACCATAGATGTGCCCGTCCTTACTGCAATGGGGCGATGCCCTCCTCCTTTTCAGCACCCCCCCTTCTCCCCCTCCTTCTCTGTCTTCCCCCGGGAGACTGGGGGCTGTCGGCCAGGTAGCGAAAAAGCGTCGGTTTCACGGAGTCGCGAACCTGACCGGTTTGGCCCGCCTCTCCAGCGTTTTTCTTGCTGTTTTCGAGGTCATTTCCCCTCTTTTTCTGCTAGAAAAGGCTTCTTGGCGTCCTCTATCGTCAACCCAGGCGGCAAGGGCCCGAGAGGCGTGGGCAACAGCACCTTCACCTGCTCGCACACGAAGATGCTGCGTTTCATCGCCTTCTTCGCCCTCCTAGGGCTCAGCACGTAAGCCATGAACCCAACCGACACGCAGATCCGGCAAAAAACGGTTGGAATGCCGTCCACCTGTGTCTCATGCCCGTGTATGCCCTTTGTGTGGTGTTTTGTGTGGTGGTACGGCCAATGTGGCTGCTGATGGCGGCGCAGGGTCCTCTGTACGGTGAGATCTGACCATTTCATGGTGCACCATCCTCGCACCGGCCTTCTCTTTCCCTTTTTCTGCTGCAGACGCCTGATCCGCCCAGTGAGGAAGTTACAGACCTCTGTACTGATTCCATCGCGGGGACCCGTTTCAAGCACGTCGCTAACCTCCTCAAAAAGTCCTCACCGAGTACCACCCTGTACAACGTGGTACACATCGACAGACACCATGCTACCGCAGACAGGAAAAGAGGAGTTCGATGCACTGACGCGTCCATCTGTGTGTGTGTGTGTGTGCGTGTGTCAGTTCGGACCCAACATTCCCCCGTCGGTGTGCAACCTCCGGCCATCAGACGGCTGCTGCCCAGCGTTCGAAGAGTTCGTCAGCTACATGCAGCCGCTTGGTGGAAGTAAGTGGGGTCTTCGCACACACTCGCACACAAGAGTTCCATCCATGTTGGCTGCTTCCTCATGTAACGTCTCTGTCTGCTTGTTGCCCCTGTACCCTGTCCAGAGTGCGCCATGGTCTTGGAAGACGCCTCCAACGTTGCCATGTTCGACAACGACTTCCTCAAGACGGCGTGTGGTACCACGGATACTGTCGACGGCTGCATCAAGGCCGCCATCCGCAAGATGGAGGTGCGCCTGGAGGACGCTGACTTCAAGGGCCCTGGGTGTGCAGAGGTACGGAAGGCAATGAGCACCCTCAACTCCGTCTGTGCCAAGAAGGTGGGTGGATGGGATGGCCAGGAGGCACACACAGATGCACGTAATCAAGTCACATGAGGGGACTGCGGCCATCTCTGTCTTTGCCTTTGTGCAGGCTGACACGACAGACGTCTACTGCTTGGACGCCCTGCCCCATCACATGGAGGTACTCGACGTCGCCATCCGTCGGCACGGTATGTAACACATACGCCCACACACTGGAACACATGACCCACAGTGGTACGCATCTCCCTTCCATCTCCTCCCCTCTTTCTTCCTGTCTGTGGCTGTCAGGAGCGTTGGCCGAAGTGGAGAGCTATGGCAAGCCCGAGCAGGTGTGCACCGACCGGTGCTTCTTCACCAACACTGGCCTGCTTCTCAACTCATTGGGTTCCGGTGACGATCGCCGTAGGGGCGACAACTACATGAAGATGCTGTGCTCCAAGGTAAGTGGTACCACAAGCAACACAGACCTCCACCCCAACACAGACAGACAGGCACGGACAACAACAACACAGAAAGGGGAGAGAATTGTGTGGTGTTGCTTCGTTGTTCCTTCGTCCTGCAGTCTGGCGACACGTACTGCTGGAACAACGTAAGGCGACCTCACACATGCACTAAAGCGCGACGACACAACTCACTCACACACACTTCGCTTCCCCCTTTTCTGCGTGTGTACAGTTCGCGGACCTTCTCCCCGGCGGAGATGCCACTCCAGTCACGCAACCGGAGGCTTGTGGCGTGTCCGTCTCGACTACCGCCTCGGCCGAGGAAGAAATGTCGACGACCGCCGCGGCCGAGGAAGAAATGTCGACGACCGCCGCGGCCGAGGAAGAAATGTCGACGACCGCCGCGGCCGAGGAAGAAGTCTCTTCGACCACCGAGCTGCCCACCGGAGCAGCCCGTCGTGAGCTCGAGGAGGACGATGCCGAGTTCCGGGAGCTTCAGCCAAAGGACCCCTCTGAGCTGAACACCCTGCCCGGCGATAGCCCGGTAGGTAGATGGATGAATGGACGGGTGCATGGGTGGGGTGGGCGGGGGGCTGACTGACCGGCTTCTTGTGTCTCTCTGCCTGCCTGCAGGGTGACATGGGATTCGGAAGGCTGCCCAATCGCCAAGGCCTTGACATCTGTGAGCAAATGGCATGCCACGGATGGTGCTGCATATGAAACATCGCTGGTGTCCGTGGATGCTCTTGCCTTCTGCAGACACTCAGCAGAGTCCGGACTGCGACACTCTGTACATCCAGATCGCCCCGGGGAATTACAGCTGCTGTGGCGCCCTCTTCTACCAGTCCTTCTACGGTAAGCGCACCACGCCACAGCACAGCGAAGCACCCTTCTCAGCGCGAATCGATCCTGATTTCTGTTTCTCATGTCCGTCTGTCTGTCTGTCTGTCTGCGTGCCTCTGCACAGAGAAGCAGCGCACGTACGGAGGTTTCCGTCGCGAGCTTCGTGAGCTTCGTGAAGTTGAGATCGACGTCGAGTACGAGGACTTCGACGGCGCTGAGCTGCGTCGGCTTGACCCCGCGTCGAGCTCGACGGAGGACCCCAGCACCAGCGAGGAGCCCAGCACCAGCGAGGAGCCCAGCACCAGCGAGGAGCCCAGCACCAGCGAGGATCCCGGCACTGGTGGTGAAGACGAGAGCACCTCACCCACGCCCTCTTCTGGCGACGGTGGCGACGGTGGTGAAGACGAGAGCACCTCACCCACGCCCTCTTCTGGCGACGGTGGCGACGGTGGCGACGGTGGTGAAGACGAGAGCACCTCACCCACGCCCTCTTCTGGCGACGGTGGCGACGGTGGCGACGGTGGCGACGGTGGCGACGGTGGCGACGGTGGCGACGGTGGCACTGGCGACGGCAGCAGCACCACACCCGGTGCCGATGATGATGGCACTGATGCTTCGACCTCCCCCGCGCCAGAAGTTCCAGAGGTTGAGGATCCGCCACTGCCGGTACGTCACTTAGTCAAGGAGTGAGTGAGCTGAGCGAGGAGGGGGGAGAGCGGACGGAAGGAAGGAAGAATGTGTGCATGTGTGCGACGGCTTGCAGGAGGCAGTGGAGGAACCCAACGGCAATTGCGATGCGGTGAGAAAAGCCGAGCAGTCCATCTATCCATTGAGCGCTCACGTGCATTCGTTTGGTGTGACTGATTTGATTTTCTGTTTGCCGACAGCTTTTGACGTCGAACGCCCAGTGCACAGCAGCCCTGACGCAGCCCCGCCGCTATGAGATCAGGACGACCATCAACGGCATCAGCAAGGCCAACATGACCGACCCCACCAAGTGCGACGTCACCAAGGTGAGCCGGGCAGCCAGCGACACAGATAAAGGACAGATAAACGCACACGCACACGCATACACATACACACACACACACGCATCTGGGCGCTTTCGTAGGCGCTGGCCGCACAGCTGCTGACGGGCATGCAAAAGAGCATCGCCTGCGATGCCTGTAAGCGAAAAAGCCTCACGGCACGCACGCGCACACCGCATCCATGTCGCTTTGTGTCTCGTCGTCTCCTTTCCTTTCTTCGTTCAATCTACCAGGCGACTTCACGTTTTGCGTTGACAGCTACAGCCTGGGCACCTGCCGAGCATCCGCAAGGTGCGCCGGCACTGGCCGTCTCCGACGCCTCTTCCGCACACGCGACCTCGTCCTGCGCGAACTCCAGGTGAGTCAGTGTGCGGGAAGGGCGGGAGGGCGGTGCGCGTGTTGTCTTCTGTGTACTCCGACCCCTGTGCCTGCCTGTGTCTGTCTGTCTGTCTGTCTGTGCAGGACAATCCTAGCGTTGAGGTGAAGACTGTCGTCATGACGAACGGCGCGACCGACGACGGCCTGGACGTGGCCATCATGGTGGCTGAGTCGTCCGGCGACCTCGACAACGCCTTCGCGATGGCCTTTGACAACACACCCAACCTCGACGAAATCATCAGTGGAGACCTCTCCGCCATGACAGACCCCGACGATCTGCCCAGCGAGGGCCAAGGGGTAGGCATATAACTTGGCTAGCTGAATGAATGAGCAACCACCTCACCACCTCTTCGTTGCTTTACTCCTGCCTTGTCTTGTCTTATTCCCTCAGGCAACCCCGAAGAAGAAGAAGAATGCGGCCTTCACCACGGGCGCCTCGTTCGTCACGCCACTCGCTCTCGCGGCTGCGGCCATCCTCTTCCTCTTTTAAGCCCACACACACCACACACCCAGAGCCCAGAGGGCCCTTAGCCAGCTGCCCGGGCGATACGCTAGCTACACACCTAATTCAAGACCACCCACCCATCCATCCATCCCTCCATTGCATACACACACACATCGTGCGTGCGTGGTTGAGTGGATGGTGGCCCAATTCAAAGTGAGTGCAGTGGGGTCGGTGGGTGTTGACTGAATAGCTACTACCTACGGATGTGCCTCGTGCGTTCCTTTGTTCGGATGTTCGGATGGTTGGATGTCTTTGCCAGAGTGGCACTTTGCGTTTCCGCGCCGCTCGATCGCTTGCCGTGCCTTGACGTGCCTTCTTATGCCTCTCACTCATTTGCCTGCCTGCACGCCTTTCTGTCTGTCTGGCCGTCTTCCTTCCTTTACTTTCCCTTTGGTTGTTTTTCGTCGTCACGGCCACGACCCAGCATGAGCTTTCAGACATTTCGTTGTGTTTTAGTGGTGTTTTTCGACCGACCGACCAACTTGGTTGACTGATGGGATTTCAGCCGTGTCGGTCCGCCTGCCTGTCTGCCTGCCTGCCTGCCTGCCTGCCTGCCCGTTTGTCAGTCGTGACTGAGTGAGTGGACCCGCTGCAATGGCCGTCTGGGTGTGCGTGTACAGGAGGGGAAATGACCTACCTACTGACAGAACATACACACATACACACAAAGGAGAGAGAGAGAGAATGGACAGCGCGCGATGCATGTGGCAGACTATTCACCTCAACACAGATTGCCACTGCAAAAGTGTGTGGATTGATGGAGCGATCGGCTAGCCAGCACAGATACACCTTCAACCATCCAACACGCCATCGACCATTCATCCATCCATCAATCCATCCATCAATCCATCCATTCAGTGGCATTCCACTAGTCACACTAATTAATGCCTCCATCCCTCCCAACGCCACATACATAAGTCCATCCACCGGCAGCCTCTCACACCATCATGTCCTCTCCCAGCAGCCTCGTCCGCTCCTCGCCCATCTCGTCCTCACACTTGATATCGACATTCAGCCACTCGGCCCCACCACGCACAGCCCCGGTGCTCTTCTCATCCTCGGCAGCCTTGCCGGCCCGCCCCTCCCCTTTGTCTGTCCCTGTCTCCTGCAGCAGCTGTTGGTTGTGATGCTGGGTCTGCCGGAGGGCGGATGGCAGACGGGAGACGAAAACGCCGCGAGTGCCACTGGCTGACTCGTCTCGCCTCAGGAAGGGGCGGTGGATGGGCGTCGGATTGGTCGCACTCGAACGAAGCACCTGGGTGAGCGTACATAGCAAGGCGTGCATCAATGGTCTTGTCTCTCTCTCTCTCTCTCTGGTTGTGTGTGTGTGTGTGTGTCAGCGGCTCTCATTGCCTTCATGGTGAGTGCAAAAGAGAGTCGCTGTTTCTCCTCGGCGAACGACAGGCAGACTATGAATGGCAAGGGGGGAGCGAGGACGGTCGACGGTGTCAGCACCTCGTCGAACTCCAGCTTCAGATCATACTCGCCAGGCTGCCAAACAAGGAACAATCGAGGGAGAAAGGAGACATCGATGGGAGGTCATTGAAAGGGATGTGGATGCGTTGGTATTGTGCAGCGTCTCTCCCGGACACCCACCATGGATGTCTCCATGTCCATTCGTGCCAGCGAAATCAGCGGCATGGTGTAGGAACGCAGGGACAGCTTCATCTGGCGCACATCCAGCAGCAGAGTCTCTTGCCGCGACCAAGGCAGGCGAAAGCAGAGGGAGGCGCCTGAATAGCAGAGTAAGTGAGAGTGCATAATAAGGGAGATCCTGGGGTCTCCCCCCATGCGCCACACAGGCAGACAGACACAGACAGACGGACAAGGCAAGGAGAGGAGACATTGGTGTGTTCATTGGAGCCCCACCTTGCACGAGGAAGCTGCACCAGGTATTGACAGCGCTTTCGATGACCTGCTTCTGCCGCGCTGCCAACACAAACACAGACACACAGACACACGGAGTGCAAACTGAACGTAGGAAATGCACCCAGGTGAGTTCTCTCTCATGTGTCTCACTCGTCAGCTCCCGGGTGTTCAGGGACAGATGTGTTGACACCTCATGCCAGTCGATGAAGCGCTCACAATCCCGGCTCTCCGGGGCTTTGGTCTGATTGCGATAGCACGAGGCTGCTTGGTGCGCCACACTGCTGCAGTCGATACCGCAGGGCTTCAAGTTGTCACATCGGAGGCTTGCTGCGTCAGAGATGCCGCAGTTGCCACAGGCTGAGAGAGCTTTGGGGATGCTGCAGCTGAAGAAACTGGCCATGGGGAATCGGACGAAGCCTGAGGAGACTGGAGATGGGACGCCCCCACGACGCCCACACTGATCATCGGCATCCGCGAGCATGATTTCGTCCTGCCACGGTTCTTGCTGCTGCTGGGGCTCGCGCATCAAGCCCATAAAGCAAGACATGTGTGGAAGGGTGTGTCTTGTGACTGGCGTCGGCACGGCTGGTATTGGCTTCGAGATTGCAAGATGGCTTGTCAAGCATGGGGCGACAGTCATCTGCGCTGCGAGGAGTAGAAAGAAGCTGGACAAGGCTGCCGAGAAGCTGCGGAAGGAGACTCCCGGGGCCGCGGTGGAAGATGGTCTGGTGATGGATCTGTCGTCCATGCAGTCGGTGGAAGACGCCCTCTGCGAGTTCCACTCAAGGAATCTGCCCCTGCATGTGCTCATACACAACTCAGGAAGAAAGGGACCTGCAAAGCGGACGACGACGTCTGGCGGCTTCGAGGTGACGTTCGCACACAACCACCTCGGTCCATTCTTTCTCACGGTCGGTCTGCTCGACGTGCTGATATCGTCGGCGCCCTCTCGCATCATCTTTGTGTCCGGCGAGATATACCGCTTCGCAAGAGTTGACCAAGATGACCTGTGTTTTGAGAAGCGGTACGAGAGCGGTGAACAGTCCATGTCTCCTTGCAGTGTGCATGGCCATGGCTGTGCGTGTATTATGAGCTGTGTCTCTATGTATGTCTGTGTCGGCAGGTACAGCAGTTTTTCGTCGTATTGTGCCACGAAGCTCTACAACATTGCCCTCTCCAGAGAGCTAACAAGAAGGTGTGGTGCAGTCTGACTCGTACACCTCACCGCCATGCATGTCTCTCAGGTTGATGGGAAGGGGCTGTACATCGAATGCGCTTCATCCAGGGATTGTGGCGTCGGCATTCAAGAGGGCAACGGGCTGCGGGGCCACCCTGTTCAGGGTACGTGATCGATTCAACCACGGCCATCCCCACCAGAGACTAGGGTGTTTGTCTGTCTGTCTTGTTGGCAGCTGTTGTGCCCATTACGGACAGCTGAAATGGGTGCCTGGACGGCGGTGTGGTTGGCCTCCTCACCTACCGTGGAACAAGTGATGCATACATACACACATCACACTCCCAACCATTCGACCTGCCTTTCTCCCTCCCCTCATGTCGACAGACGAGTGGGAAGTACTTCATTGACTGCCGCATGGTCGAGCCTCTGCCCATCTGCCAGAACGAGGCCTTCGGCAGCAAGTTGTGGGCTGTGTCAGAAGAGCTTCTGCGAGCAGCGGGCGTCGACTACGACATTTTCGCAGCAGCTGCAGATCCAGCTTTAGGGGATCCACGGCAGACAACCAAGAGGCTAGAGACCATCCGCAGCAGGTCAGCTCGGCCGTCATACACACATGGATGGATGGATGGATGGACGCTGTCTGTCTACCTCTGTGTGTCTATCTCTCGTACGCTCCAGGGCGACGTCTGTCTCGCAGAAGCGGCTGTCTGTCGGCGAGACGGAGTCTGATGAAGGGCCAGCGGGCGAGGATGGCCCAAGAGATGACAAGCGGAGACACACACAGGAGGGGGATGGACACCAAGCCACTGGAGGTCATAAAGACGCAGGCCAAGGTGTGCACTTGGAAGAGACGCCGCAGCTCCCCGGTCAGCCAGAGGCATCGGCGGCCCCAGAAGAGGGAGCGAGCAGGGAAATCGTGTCTCCACCAACAAGGGAGGAGAGGGGCGGGGCGCCTGACACTGCCGGCGCGGCATACGTGGTGGAAGGCGAAGGACATGACGCAGAAGACCAGGGGGACGTCACATGATTTTGTTGAGCTGAGCGTACTGGCCTTGTTGCTGACTCAATGCTGAGGTCGTTGGTGTGTGTGGTGGCTGTCGGTGATGTGATCACGGCGTCGCTCACGGGACATCTGTGTGCCTGCACGTGGCTGATTGACCGACACTGCATCCATCTTGCGGGTGCTTTCATCATTTGTTAAACAAGCATGTGTGAATACCATGCACGGAGTCACGTCTCCAACACCACCATGACGTCCTCGCCACAGTTTAGCCCCCACCGCTGGGCGACTCACTGCCCACGCCCGTCTGCCTGCTGCCACTGCTACCCCCCGACTCCTCCCCACCCCCAGATACACAGCCGCGTAGGTTCACGTGAAAAGGCTGCATGAGATCAAACCCCAGAGCGTATGGCCAACACGACAGCATGAACAAAACAGCCACCAGCAAGAACACCCACTCAGATATGGCCACCATCGAGAAGAGGTCCTGATCGTCCGTCACGCCAAGCTGCTGGGGTACGACAATCAGCATACAGCAGACGGCCATCAGCGCAGCGATCAGCTTCCGAAGGTGACGCCAGCTTCTCTCAAGGGAGGAGGGGGGGGGGAGGAGAGAAGGGAGCACCGAAGGCAGCAGGGGTGCGTCGAGCAGAAAGGCCATCAAACCTGTCTGGATCATGATAGCCACAAACCTGCAGAGGATGGCCAGCCAAGAGAGACAGGGAGCTCTGCACGTACGAGTCTTCTCCCCCAAGCCCTGTCGCCTCACCACACGGAAGCAAACGCGTTGTGGACAGCTTCCTCCTCGAACACCGGGATGACCTACATATGTGGACAGACACACAGTGGGGGAACATCCCAAATCCAACAACTAAAGCAGAGATTACCAGCAGGCCGACCAGCCCAATATGTCCCAGTGCAGCCATCAGTCCGGTCAGCTGCACCCTCCCCTTCAGCAGCGGTGGCACCGGAAGATTGGCGGTGAGGAGGCCCCAAATGAAATACAGCCAGCACGTTCCAGCCAAGATGAGAGATAAAGCGGCGACGTACCGCTCGGGGCTGCCGGCGAAACTCACAGACGGATGGAACCTGGGCCAGTAGAGCATGTTTGAGTCGAGGGCGAGTCTGGCGCAGATGATGCATCCCACGACCGTCAAGAAGACAGATGCCAGCAGAGAGAGGCGGAAGAGCGGTAGAAGAACAATGCCCTTCCCCATCACAGGTCGATAGAAGGAGGCGCAAGACTTCACGACAGCGTGTGCTGCCCGCGGCCTGTCGCTCGTCTCAGGCTCATCCCCCGCCCCCACTCGCCCCCAAGCTCGCACTTTGGCAAGTCTTTCCCCACAGATCCGACGCCATGGACCGCACGAGCATTGCTTTGGTGTTGCTGCCAACAGGTAAGAGGAGATAAGCGAAGATCTGCCTTATCCAACATGCGTGGTGTCCTTGTTGCGTCAGCCCTCGCGGCTGTATTCTTCCTCCAAGTCAACCATCTCCAGACGTCCATCGATCGCATGGAAAAGCGCCTCCTCGCCCTCACACACGAGCAACAGGTATGCCGGGCACCCACCCCTCCCCTCGCTGGTCACTCATTCACGTTGACTGGTGTCTGCAGGCCGTCACGGTGCGTCGCCGTATGCAAGATGACGAGAGCGTGAGCTTCGACGACCTCAGGGATGAGTCTGGCGGTAAGCGCTGACCCGGATGGACCGCCACATCGCGTGTTGTCTTCTGTGTGTGTGTGTGTTGGTTTGTGTGTGGTGTCAGAGCTGCCTGAGAACGTGACGGCCGGGCTGGAGGAGGTGCAGAGGACATGCCCAGAGCTGTATGAACGCATCGAGCAGGCAGCGGCGAGGGGCGAGAAGTTTGCGCCGGATAGGGTGGGCATCCTGCGAGCAGTGGGCGATGAGGTTGTGAGGACTGCTGAGTACCTCGATGAGATCAGTAATGGAAAGGACAGCACAATGGATGAAGGACGCACGGCAAGGGCGTTGTCGATGTTGTCAATCAGGCATCTTCAAGGTGCTTGACGCCGACCTGTCCAACGTCCAGAAGGTAGGCACCTCCAGGCACACAGCAAGACACACACGAATACATCCATCCCCACTTCACCTGCCAGGTCGAGACGATCTACCTCCATTGGGGCAACGAGACCGGCGGCAACAATCTGACATACGAGCGTGTGTACAGGATCCAGAACGTCAATCGCTTCATCGACGAGAAGGGCCAGCCGACGGCTGAGGTCTTTTTTGTGGGCGGCGACAGACTCGTGCTCATCCCTGAGGGCGCCAACCTGTTTTCAGCTGACGACCTGGAGAGCCCCATTGCCGTCTTTGCGGTGAGTGAGAGGGTATCCATGCCTGTCGCAAGAGAGCGTGCATCACCCGTATCTTCCTGTCTGTGTTGCTTGTCGTGTTAGGGCCCCGAATTCAGCGACACCATACTGGAGGAATACGAGACGGCCGTGGACACGTCTGCCGATTCCGTCGAGGAGCAAGAAGAGGTGGCCGACGACAGCGGAAAGAGGAGACTCAGCGCACCAAGGTGGGGGAGCCACCAGGAAGGGCGAGGATGCCATGGGTGGTGATGGATGAGTGTGTGTATCATGCACGTGTCAGGCGCCAGCTGGGCATCGGTGTGAGAGTTGGGCCAGTCGGTGTGGCTGTGGGTCGGCCCTACTAGTAAGTGGACAGATGCATACGCACTTGCATGGACAGATCCCCATGTGATAAGGTGCCTATTTCACTGCCATTTGTGCGTCCAGTCGTCCGAGGCCCGCTGCCCGTGTGGCCCGAGCAACCACGCCTCTGCGTGTGGGATACGGGTACGCTCACATACTTGGATGGATGGATTCGACGGACCTCTTGGTCTGTGTGTGTGACGTCTGTATCCCTCTGTGTGTGTTGCTTGGTGTTCAGGTACCGCCGCTTTTAGAGAGCGGTGTGGCGTAGACAAACAAGCCGCGTAAGGTAGTTTAGTCCTTTTTTCGTCACCGTAGACCTGTGGGTGCATGTTGCGTGTCATAGGGGATGAGGGAAGGGGGCCCAGCAGAGTTTACCGTGTACGATATGCCGTCTCGTCCCCCACGCGTCTTTTTCCCTGATGCTTGTGTCACGCCCCTGTCGTAGTGCGGCGTGACGCGAAATTACACGTACACACCATCACAGACAGACAGACAGACAGAGAGGGACGGTGTAGATGTTCTGGTCATGATGTTTTAATGCTCGTAGCGTGCATGCTGTCCTCCACCTGAGGAGAGTACGTAATATCCCAAACTACACACTTACCCACAGCCAGTTCATCCAGGCAGCCGTACTTGATGGTTCGGGGCTGGCGCGCATCTTGCATACCGATTTCGGTAGTTTGCCGAAGCTTTAGTTAGACAATATGCGTGATGTTGTGCTGTGTGAGTTTGGGGTTGTCACTGCGCCTCTTTTTCCTCATGCAGTGCAGACGTGGGTGCAGAGCTGTCTATGAGTCAGGACCACACGCCTGCCTTCGACGGCTCACAGACGGCGCTTGTTTGCTAAAGAGGAAAGACACTTTTCTGTGTTGACGTCATGTTGTGATGTCGGTGAGCCACTGGGTGGACGCGGGCTGGTCAGTGGAGGATATATATGCGCATCTCTCGTTGATTGATTTGATAGCTATGAATGGCCACATCCACCAAGTCTCAGTAGTCGACTTATGCACCTCGATGGGGGGTAGACAACACACGGATGGACCAACACCACACGGACCAACCAATCAGTCAACACACTGCTGGGAACTACACACGACCGACACCACGCCACTGCTTGCTTCAAAACTGCATGCATGTGCGTTCATTCCCACGCGGACACACCGGCATGAACCCACCAGCACATCCACCCAGCCGATCAATCAGCCACACACCACTGCGGCAGATGGACGCGCACACGCAGTGGCCTGCACGGCAGGTGCCGCCTATCCGGCGGACTGCCAGCCAAAAAAGGCCCAAATGGACAGTGAATTTCCCCATAATTGCCCCCTCCCCCCCCTCCCCTCACTCCTCTAAAGCAGATGAGCACAAGAGTGTGTGTGTGGCGTTTGCTGTTTGTCACTCACTCATTGAAACCCCCCGCCCGCCTTGCCCTTCTTCAAAAACTTGTTGTCCTTCTTGACGCGACGCTTCTGTGAATCGCGCCCATGGTGCTTGTGGTGGTTGTGGTGGTGTAAGGCACCGTGCTTCCGGCCCTCGAGCACGGCATCGAAGGCGGACGCGTTGACCACCACTGGCAAACCGTCACCTGCACACCAACACACACACATGTGCACACGACCGTTGCCCCCGTGGTGCGCCTCTTTGTCTCTCTGTGTGTTGTGGCTGACCTGTGTCTGTGTGTGCATCGGTCTTGATGTGTGTGGTGGTGTGTTTGTTCTTCTTGTCCTTCTTGAGTTTGCCTTTGTCGTACTCCTTGTCCTCCTGCGACCGCTCCTGGATGGGTGGCTGCTGCTGCGCCTGGGCCGCCACATAGTCGGAGGGTGGAGGCAGACCCTCCCATGTATCCACTGCACACACACATGAAGATGGAGAGAGCACGTGCCCGACTGCCTGCCTGAGTGCATTTACCGTTGGCTGTGCCGAACTGCTGGATGAGCGAACGAGCCTGAATGCGGTCAAGGGGAGACGATCAGATGCGGCGTGTCAGTGTCTGTGTTGAGCTGGTGGTGTATGTGGTGGTACCTGTTGTCGACGTGCCTCAGGGGAGAAGGGCGCCAAAACACACTCCTTCTCCTGGCTCGTCGCCTCAACCAACCTGACACACACACAGACGCACACACACTCCCGGTGTGCGTCAGCTGGTCATGGCGTGTGGTTGTGGCGTCGCCTACTTGTGTTCCTTTTCCTCCTCCATCTTGTGGTGTTGATGGTCCGCCTTGACATCCATCTCAGCGTCGCCCTTGACCTCCCCCTCCTCGTTGGCCTCCGTCTTGCCACATATGGGCAGCTGGCCGTCCGCCAGTCGACCAACCGCATCCTCAATACCACTAGCACCAGCACCAGCGGGGTAGCCCCGCCCCTCAGCCACCTGAGCAAACAACCATATATAAGAGCCGTCATCTGTCGCTCTGGTGGTGCGTGTGTCTCCCTCCCTCCCTCCCCGCCTCTGTGCCTACCTCAGTTCGCTCAGTCACCAGGAGGCCCAGGTCGCGGCACGTGGCCGCCGCATCGTGATCGGCTCCACGCACCTTGCGCAGAAACCGACACGCCCAACGGAAATGAGCATTCTGCACACACCAAAGGATAACACAAACATGACAAATATGAAGCCCACCTAGTCGTGTGCTGCCCATCCGTGTGTCTGACCGTGAGTATGAGTTGTCGTCTCATCTTGCGCCCGCATGTGGTGGTGGGCATCAGCAGCGACGCGTGGCGGCTCGCCAGATGGTTGAAGCGCCGACGCCTCTCCGCAATGCTCATGTCGGCCCACGGCCGACCCACACTCTTCTTGCCTTTCTCCCTGCCCGGCGCGACCCCCATCTCCTCCTCCTTGGCCTCCCCCACGCCCTCGTCGAGCTTGCCAAAGGGCACCAACGCCAGCTGGTCGGCAGCCGCCTCCTTGGCACCATTAAGGCGCGCCTGGCGAACAGATCGCTCCAGCGCGCCCAGCCCCTCTCCCTCCCCCTCCTCGCCTCCAGTGTCGCCACCCTCATCGAGCTTCCGCTTCTGCCCTACAGACGGTGCCGCCTCAGCGGTGGCCTCGGCCATCTTCTCCTCTCGCGGCTGCGGGGCGGCGGCCTTGTCGCCCTCCTTCGCCGCCTCCGTCTCCTTCTCTTGCCCGCCCTTGGTGCATGGCGGCGCCTCGTCGTCAGCCGTGAGATCGATGGTCATGGCCGACGAGGGAGGAGTGGGGGTAGCGGCGGGGGGCGGGGAGGGGACATGTGGCGCGGCGGGGGAGGTGTCAGCAGCTGGTGGTGGGGATGGCTGCGGGTCCTGCTGCTGCTTGTCCTTTGGTGGGTATGGCGCCTCCTGCTGGTAGAAGAGGATGTAGGCCTCGCACATGCAACTCAACACCGTCCTCTCGCTCACCTGACGCCAACACACACACATACATACATACAGACGTACATGCGTAAGGTCCATTCACACACAACTCGACAAGGCCTGCCTCACCCATATGTGTGTGCCTGTCCCCCCTCTCCCTTGCTCACCAGATAGACTTTGGCATCGTCGAAGCAGTACCAGTTGCCATTGGCGGCCTTGGCATACGTCACGTAGTGCCCCGAGTTGGCCGTCCACCCCCGATGAGAGACCATCGCCCACAGGTTGTACCGACAGTGGGGCGACGAACGCACTCCGGACGGCACCGCACCACCGCCCACGGCAGACGCAGACCCAGCCACAGGCGAAGATGGGTTGGCCTGCGGCTGTGGCTGTGGCTGTGGTTGTGGCTGTGGCTGCTGGGTGGCTGTGCGTCTCTGCTTTGGGGGTTCTCCTCTGGCTTCGTTGGTGGTGAAGTCCTTGAGGTCGAGGTGTGCGGGGAACTGGATGGCCTTGCCGTTCTTGTGGCTGGTGAAGTGCCGACGGCTCCATGACGTCATCTGCCAACGGGGGGCGAACCTGACCGGCAGATTGGGATATCTGAATGAATGGATGGATCGGTGGGTGTCAGTCAGTCGATGTGTATTGTATGTAGGGGGGTGGTTGGTGGGTGGGTGGGGGGGTGGGCGGCGTACCTCTTGAGGGTGAGGGTGAGCAGCTCCGGGCACCGGTGCAGCAGGATGCGCTTCTCGGCCAACGGTACCTTGTGGCCGCACTCGGGACAACTGACACATACACCAACACACACATCCACAGGCAGACCGACGTGTGATGCGGCTGCTCTGCTCTGCATGTGATTGATGCTGGCTCACTTGTATTTGTTTTGGTTGCAGAGCCTCTCCTTGGCCGTGAAGTGCTTGAACGCCCCAGGCAAACTCGAAATACCAGCTGCAAATACCACGCAGCACACAACAGACCATCCATATCTCCCACAGCTCTCCCTCCCTCCCTCCATCCCTCCTACCCAGCGCTCACATACCTTCCAGTTCCAGCGACAGGTCGAGGAAGAAGTCGTACGTGTTGGACTCGTATCCACAAGTCTTGCACTCGATGGTCGACCTTAGCCAGCCCCCGAACAGCCGAGATATCCAGCTGGTCGCCTGCACGTTCTGCCGCAGCAGCAGCCGCCGCAGCTGCGGCTTGCCGTCCGTCAGGGGCTCGCACGACGAGTGGAACGTCTCCACCAGCACCCGGATGAATTCGTGGGCGTCCGCCTGCCTAGCGTACCGAATGGGCGCCCAGACGGGCCGGATGGCATGCTTGAGGCGGACGGCATCGAATGAGGTGCTCGTGCCCCGGTAAGCCTCCTGCACCGTGGCCTCGAAGACACAGAGGGTGCAGTGGAGGCGGCGCTGCCGTCGGTGGCAGGTGGCCCGGTGCTTGCCCTTGAGCATGTGGTTGACCAGCGGGGGGGCGTGCGCCAGCGCCTGCACCGTCGCGTTGAGGTAGCAGTCGTTGCGCTCGTTGAACAGACCCCTCGCCGGCGGCAGGGGACGCTCCCACTTGCGATTCGGCATATCGCTCTCCTTCGACAGCTCTATCGGCGGGTCGAAAATGTCGCAGTCGTCACTCGTCTGCATCGACGTGGCGCCCGCACTCCCCGCGGCCGCCTTGGTCTGCAGCTGCCCTCCTGCCGCAGAGGTCGAACCGAGTTTGACGAATGCGATGCGGCGAGGCAGAATGTCGGCAACCGTGACGCGCTGGTCGGGGAGCGGTGGTGGGTGAGAGGGAGAGGAACGGGGCGACGACGCAAAGCCGGCGAACATGGACCCCTGAAGGCCGCCTCCACTATCGTGGAGCGCCGGCGGCATCTTGATGCCGCAGGCACACAAATCTCAGGCACCTGAAGACAAGCATAGATGCGCATTTTCGGTGCTTTCGAGGCATGTTTGTCGTGTTTCAGAGCCCTCCTCACCTCTGACAAGACAAACACGGCGCTACAGTCCTCCCGTTGATCCGCAGGAGCCGAATCAAGATGCGAACCTTACTCAAGATGCACACACCACAATCGGGAACCAGAGAAGCACACCCACCACTCACGCGCACCCCCGCTTCGCTCTTCGCTCCTCCTCATTCGAAAGGCTCGCACCTTCGGCGATCTGCCGGGTATTCGCATCTCGCGAAATCCCAAAGGGGCTGCGAGGAAGCACAGCCCACAAGCCACCCGAAGCAAAATCCCCGCCTCTTTGCACCGTAACTTCTTCAATCGGTGACACAAACGACGGACGGGCAGGGTAGGGAGCTCTGGCCTCTCTGCGGCCTCTCTGTGTGTCTTTCAGGTGCTTGCTCAGGTGTTGCTGGCCATGTATCGAACAGGGGTTCTCATCGGAAACTATAATGAGGACAGATTCGGTACCTTTCAGTCACACAAGACGGCCCACAGAATGACCGTCGGTCTCACTGCCGTGTTCCTTTCTCATCTCGCTTCCTTAATTCCATGCAGGAATGGAGCTTCTGAGCAAGCGGCGTGCCCCTCCTCCCCTCCCCGTCTCCACATACGCCGAGGCATTCCACTGGTGAGTCAGCCACTCAAATCGCATCCACTCATCCAGGAGACGGCTTTTGCGTCGCTTCCCGTGTGCCGCCCTCAGGAAGGCACACAGGCGGGAGCATGACAGCACTATCGCTGCCCTTCGCAACAAGTAACAAACATGGCATTCTCTCTCCTGCATCGTCCCATCCTCTCATACCTCCGCTGTGTTCGGTTCAGACGTGACGAGATTGAGACGGCTGCCCGTCCGCCAAGGCCTGTTCTTCCCCAGAGCGCTGTCGGCGCACCCTCGCTGGCCTCCATTATGGTGGCCGCGGCGCCATCCAGTCGGCCCGCCGCACGGTCGAGCGTCGACAGGCGTCTGCTGCTGGGACACGGCAAGCCGGACATCGACTTTGAGCATCGCGAGTTCAAGACGGCGACTGACTCCTTCACCGGGGGCATCAGCAATCCTGATGGCGTGCGGGTCACGGAGGGCCAGTTGAGGGCGCTCAAGGCTGCACAGCGGCAGGCTGAGAGTAAGCTGATGCAGGCAGGCCGTGAAGGAGAAACCACGACGGCGTGTGCAGGATGCATGTGTGTATGTGTGTATGTGTGACCTGTTGTAGGTGATGACGTGTTGCGAGGCCGTTTCGACACCACGTATGGTAGGGCGAACCAGCACGTGGCCCACCTGGTGTCTGATCCGCTCAAGACCTCGCCCGACCTGTCGACCATCAAGGCTCCCACGCGTGCCATTGCCCGGTCAGCCCTGCACGCATCAGACCAGCGGCTGCCTGTGGTCGACGGCAAGGCGGCCGAGGACATAAGGCAGCCCTCCAAGGCGCTGCATCGGCCCCAGGGTGCCACGTACAGCAAGCTCTATACGGCATCGGGATGAGTGAGGGTGGGACTGACTGGCCGACAGAAACACTGTGACATTTGCATTTGCGTGCATGACCTGTGGATTGGGAATGACTTGAGAGCACCTCCATGTTAAGGCACACCGCGTAGACATCAGTCCATCAGATCAAATCATGTCACGTGCATGGACACACATCACCCACCGTACACGGCTCACTGACTCATCAGTAGGGCACAGAAAATGCCGGCCTGATTGGCAGGCGGACCCTCTTCTTCCCACCCTCCTTGAGGAGGACGCCCGTCCTGCCCACCTCACTCCCCTCATCTGCCAGCACCCCCACCTTGCCCTCCCTGGCCATCAGCCGGCTCTCCCTGTCGTGGCACACCACCAACTCCTCCTCAGTCAAGATGTACTCAAGCCGTTCGTCATGGTCCTCCACAGGCACCTCCCTCACCTCCTGGCAGCTGAACGCCACGCCACACGCCACCACAGGCATCACGTCCTCGGGCCTCTGCCGCTGCAGGTCGTCGATGGGCAGGTTGGCGGCTCGCGGGCCCAGCTGCTGCAGTCGCTGCATGATGATGGAGGGGGTGCGGCCGGACCCTTCATAGGGTCTGTTGAAGAAGACCGGCAGCAGGGACTCGGGGAGGGTCTCGCCGCTCATGCGCTTCATCCACCGCTCCCGAAGGTGCTTGAGGGTGCGGTCGTAATAGCCCCCGCCATAGCCCACTCGAAAGCCGGTTCGGTCGAACGCCAACAGGGGGACGAACACAAGGTCGGGCAGCACCTCTGCTGCACGCTCAGCGGGAGGAATGGGAACCTGATGCTGCACGCACACACACACGCAGCCAACAGCGACTGATTGGGATCTCAGGGAGACTGATTGTGTGTGCTCACCCACCTTTCCCTTGACGAGTCGCATGCCCGGCGTCCATGCCCTGAAGATGAGGCTGGCCTCCTTCTGCTCCACCACCGGCAGCCCACACCGATAGCCCCTGCTGTCCAGGAAGGTGAGGATGTGCCGCGCGTCGAACTCAGATCCGATGGGCCAGTAAGCAGAGCACACAGGCAGCTCCTTGTAGCGGCCGCGAGGGGTGTCACTCCGACGCCCTCCAGATGATAAAGATGGGTCGTCATTGTCGCTCTCGGAGGCGCTTGATGTGTCGGAGAAGTGGCCGCACTTGCCGTACTCCATCTTGAGGAGCCGCGTGATGTTGCTCATGAGTCGCTCCTTCATCTCTGTGCTGTAAGCGAATGTGTTGGCGAACGTGTTGCGGACGCCCATAATGTCATTCCTGCAGCGCGTGTAAGATCTTCTTCTACTGTGCCTGGCTGTCTGCTGTGGCGCACCTGATGAGTCGTTTGGCCCTGTCGGTGCTCTGCTCATAGACGTGCACATTCATCTTGCGCCTCACCTTGTGCTTCACAGACCTCATCTCGCTGAAGCGGACACCTGCTACGAGGATGGTCAGATCTGCGCAGAAAAGGGCACTGTTTCAGTGAAGGCAAATACCGCTAGCAGGTCAATAGGTATGACAGAACCTGGGAACCTGCATCGCTGCGAGCTTGAACATCATGATGTAAATTGCCTTACCGCAAAGCCCTCAAGCAGCGAAAAATGGATGCACGAGCGTTCTTCTTCCTGCTGGTCATCTGCACAGCTGCCCTGGACCACATCGATGGGCGTCTGCTGGCAGATCTCCGCGAGTCCCACCTTGTGCACGCCGCTTCGCAAGTGTCAGTAGAGGTCTACTACGAAAGCCTGTGCCCGTTCTCGGCCAAATTCATCGAGATGAGCCTCGTGAGTGCATCCTCCCGCCGTTGAGAAGACTGCAATGGATGGTTTATGTGTTTTCTTCTCTCTCGCAGGTGCCTTTGATGGAGTCGCCTCTGCGTCCCTTCGTTTCTCTCACAATGTTTCCATACGGCAATGCAAAGACCGACGGCAAACACTTCAAGGTGAGCCGAGCGAAGCCAGAAAAACGTAGATGGTTGTTCCCACTTTCAACTCAGTGCCAGCACGGCGAGGCCGAATGCGCACTCAATACAATACAGGCAAGCCGAAAGAGCGCCCGCTGGATGGCAATGTTGTTAGTTGTGTCTCGTGGTGCAGGGCTGCATCTTGCATTACTCCAAGAAGTCCCTCGCTGCCATCGCCTGCATCGAGAAGGACCTTCCGCAGGACTGGGCGCAGTGCGTCGACACGGGGGAGAGATCCGCCATCGAGACGTGCACCAAAGACGGCGAGGGGACCCATCTGATGCAGGGGGCAGCCAAGGCGACAGAGGCACTCAAGCCACCACACACATACGTCCCTTACGTCGTTATCAATGGTATGCACCACGAGAGGATACACACAGCTGGCCCCCGAGCCGTGCAGCTTGAAGATACCTTCTCCTCTTTTTGTGTGGATGCAGGCAAGCACTCTGAGGAGAACGAGCAGAATCTGGAGCGCGCCGTGTGTTCGTCACTCGGCAACGACGCCCCTGCCTACTGCAGCAAGGCTCAGAGTGTCGCCGTCTTCGGTCGCACATTCTTGTCCGTGTGAAGGGCGGCCACACATTGGCCATTCCAGCAGACACACCGACAGGGTTAGCTTACACTAATGGACTCACGTGCATGTCATGTCATGTCTGTATCGCTTTCAATGAATTGAGTCATGAAGTATACTAAAGAAACCCATGCACTGCACTGCACGTGTGTACACATTCACTTCACGTGGATTGAAGCTCCAACCGGTCCATTCACTTCGAATCACGTCATTTCATGCATACAGCTGTCCTGTCTTACATGCGATCGATGGGTCGATTGCCAGTAATGTGTGTCGGTCGGTGTGTCATCTTGCGTCACCGGTGGACAAAAAGCCTTACAGGTAGGTCGCTCCGTTTTATTGCTCGAAGAAACGCATTGATTGCCGTCGCTCCGTGACTGCGGGTCAGCCATGAAGGGTCAACTCTCAACCCACACGAAGAGGCAGGTGGCCCGGATGATTCGTGTCTCATGGTTTCTACCATTAATATTTCTGTGCCTTGCTTCTGCTCGCTTCCTTTGCTTCCTGAGTGTCATCCGTCTTCTGCTTCCTCTTCTTTTGCCTCTTCCCGCTCTCCTGCAGGAGCTCCGGGGCAAACTCTTCCACCAGGCTGTAGGCATGTGTGTCGTTCAGCTGCCGCACACCAGCCGCGACGCGCAGGCATCGCTGCGCGTCGTCAGGGAGGCTGTATTCCAGCAGCTTGAGGGACGGTTCTTCCCCCATCTCTTCCCGGAGCATCTTTTTGTCTTCGCTCTTCACAAGCACCAGACGGGCTGACTGAATGAGACACATGATCTGTTTGGTGACACACACACCAGGAGAGAGACACACACTTGTACCATCAATCAAGGCAGCTGAGCCCGTACTGAGTCCATGTAATGACCTGGTGGGCCGTGCTGCCTGGGGGGTAGCTGCTGTCGATGGTCACTGATGGGGCCAAATGGGGCAGCAGCAGATCGGCTTGGGGGTTTTGCGGGCCGCCAGCAATCCTCTCTCGCTTCGGCATGCACTCACGAGTCATGACTACGACTTCCGGCCAAGCCTTGAGGATGTCGAACACTATGCGCAGCCAGGGCCGCATCTCCTTCTTGAAGCCGCTCTCCTGCTCTACACCCTCGACCGTTCTGTTGCGGAGCTGCTCGAGTGTGGCGGCGCCATCATTAATGTCAACGTCGAGGACCTTCTTGGCCTGCTTCTTCCAGGCCTGCTGGTGGATGGCCTCGACGAGATTGAATTCGGCGGTTGGAAGAATGTCCGCGTTCCTGTCAAAAAGAGAGCTTATCATCTTCTTGCAGTTTCAGATGCCGTCTTGGTTCGCCCGAGGGGCATGCTGGAAGCCAAAGGATTGATAGTAGAAGCCTGACATGCACATGCAAGCGAATTGAAACGGATCGATGTGCATGTCAGTCAGAGCCTGTGCATCATCTGCGCGTACCTGCTTTTGAGAGCACATACATCTCCTTGATGCTGCTGACGTCAAGAATTGTCACCTTTGTGCAGCCGTAGGCAGGCGAAAACTGGTCAATCCAGGATAGGAGAGCCACCATCAGGGTGTTCCCGTTCAGCTTGTCGGCCTTGCTCAGGCTGGACAGAGAGACAATAATAGATAACATATAAAAGGGCTGACAGCTTGTATTCTCGGTCATGCACATACCTCGCCAAGTAGCAGATGCGCGGCGCCTCCCTCCAGCGTTGGATATCCATAAAGCATTCACCACCTGTCACGTCCAGCCCCTCCACCTGAGGGAGACGTCTGAGTGTTGTCGTATGGTTGCGTAAGTGCGTAAGATGGATTACATACCTCCTGCAGTGACACCTCAAGGAAGGAATCAAAACCTCGGAGACGCAAGACTACGTCGAGCGTGTCTTTGCCCCTGAGGTTCTCCTGGATGCGCCTTCTGAACGCCTCAGGGACCTTCACAGAACAACTGCAATCGATGCATTCATTGCAGCGGCCAAGACCAGTTGCAAAGGTATACCGTCTAGACTCGATATCTGTTCTTATCCACCTGATGTAGATTGGCTCCTCTGAGTCAGGAAGGTTCTCCGGCGGTTGTGAGCAGCTCACCCCCTCCGCGACACGAGACGAGGAGACTTGTTGACACAGCTGACAGAGGATCAGGGCGATGCAGAGCGACCAGGTACAGAGAGCCATCGGGATCCGAATCATCCGATCAGCGGGATGGAAGCAGGAGAGACTGCGAGACGAAGCACCCCCAGTCTCGCCCCCATCTGCATGCAGCTGCTGAATTTCAGCCTGTGACGTAGATCGCGGACTGCTCAAGAAGTGGGATATCGATGACACCGTAGCCTCCGTAAGATCTCTCTCTGGTTGGACAAAGAGAGAGCGACTTGGTTGATTATGCAGATGTCACCACTCGCTGTGGCAGTCTCGGTTCTAGTCCTGCTGCTGGGCGGCGGCGTGCAAGTTGACGCAGCCAAAGAGGAGGGTATGTAAGTACGTGTGTGTGTGCATGTATGGGACTCCCTCAATTGTGCACCGCTGCACTCATTCATTACAGGCCCCCATGATGACATTGTCTCCACCGCCACGCATTCCATCATCGAGCTTGGCCACGACAACACGGCGCTTACCGAGGCGCGCTACCTCTGTTCTGGAAAGGAGCTGGTTGAAGTCTTCCCAGAAAAGGAGCCTCGGTGGGTGACGAAGAACTATGGTTTTTGGGGTCCAAGAAGAAGGGCGACTGGCACGTGGGCGAAGGTATGAGATTATGTGCCGTTCCCTCGCCAAGATTGTTGGTACAGTACATGCATCTTGCACCATATACATATCATGATGCCTACAGAGTGTTCGCCCGCTTTGAAGCCGGTGCGTGTCGCGGCGGGAGTGGGGGCCGTTTTGGTTTCCCCCTTGAGGTAAGTACAGTAGGAGAGACGAGAGGCCTGTCACCTCGACGTACTGCATGTGTGTCCGTGTTCAATGTAGCGGCTTGAGGAAATTCATGGATGCAACGGATGCCAACTACATGCGCAAGAATTATCCTGACGAGTACTACGACAGCACCAGAGCGGACAAATGGATGACGATTGCTCGCTCCGGCGACAAGACCTGCACGGGCATCCACTACTACTGCCGCAGCAAGGCGGATGGAGGCGCCACCGCCTGCCGTCCCGGACAAGATAAGGAAGAGTGCTACTGCTGCTACAAGATCCACGACGAAGAATGATCGGTGCTGTGCTCCCTCCCTCGCTCACACACACACACAGCACACCTGCAGCACATCCAATCCGGCCCGAAGCCATTCAGCTCGGATGACTGCATGGAATGACTGCTTGGAAGGTCGAGTGGATGCCATGTCTCTCTGGATGAAAGACAGAAAACGGACAGACAGACAGACAGGCAGACAGACAGGAAGCAAGACAGACTGGCTGGCTGGCTACCGAGTGCCCATGAGAGAGCGAACAGTCAGGCAGATGTGTAGTCGCCTCTTTTCCTTTTGTACGTGGCCGGGAGAGAGAGAGAGAGGGAGCGAGAGAGAGAGAGAGAGAGACGGAGAACATATGCAAAGAGACAGACCCTCACGTGATGGCGCACAGCTGCTTGATGATGATTAAAGGAACAAAACGAGTCAATGAAGGAATACAAAACACTCACACACACGTACGTGTGGTTTGTCCTCGAAATCAGACACTCATACACCTGCTCATTGGTTGGCACAATAGGCGCGACTTGTGCGCCAAAGCTGGCCGTGCGGTCGGAAGGCCAGCCTTGTAAGTGCAGGTCAGTTGGCGCCTATGGCAACGTAATGTCCAACTCACAGACAGACACACCGACGCAGATCATTAATTACGGCCGGCCAGAGTGCACCTTTGTGGTCATGTGTGCGACAAAAACAAGTCATGAGATCAGTTGGTGTGAATGACCGACTGTGTGAATGCGTGGAGGCATCAAGGGAGACACGCCAAGAAGATTGGCCCGAACCAGTCAATCAGTCATTCATTCGAAAGATGTGTCAGTCTGGGTATCGACAAAGATGTAGCCGCAACACGGACCACACCAGGAAGCGCCAAAAGAAAAAAGCCGGCGAGGCCACATATGTATATTGCACACCTCAACCTGCACACACACACACACACCAATTGCAGGGAGATACAGAGGGAGAGGAGTGTGTGTGTGTGTGTGTGTGTAGGTGTGTGTGTGTCTTCACCTTGCCGTTGCCGCCCTTCATGTTCTGAGGCAGCTGAGCCGTCACACACAACGTATGACACACCTGCAAAGACACACACGCCCATACACATTCATCGGTGCAGGTCGTGGCGTGGCCTCTCTCTCTCCCTTGTCATTCATGTCACTCACCTGTGTCTTGCCGGTTCTGTTTTCTCCGAAGAGCTCTGTGATGCACATGCTCTCGATGCCTCCGCCCAGCAGCTTGTCGAGGTTGTTGGAGCCCGTCGTCATCTCGAGGATTCGGTTGCGCTTCGTCATCAGGACCGACCCGCTCATGAACGCATTGCACGCCTCCAACTTGCGGGCCGCCTCCAGAATCTTCACATCCACACACACACACACACAAGAGTTGTGGGATGGATAGATGGATGGATGGATGGCCAGAGAGGTGTGTGGATGTGGGTGTGTTGCATGCGTGCCTTGTCGACTTTGGCGTCGCTGAGTCCCTTGATCTGCGTCAGTTCCTTGCTGGTGCTCTGGATGACACTCATGACGGTCGCGTAGCCGGCGCCCTTCAGCTTGTTGATGTCGGCCATGTTGATGCCCATCTCCTGCAACTTCTCAACCTGAACACACAATCACAATCACAATCACAATCACAATCACAATCACAATCACAATCACAATCACAATCGCACACACACACACAGAGAGAGAGAGAGAGAGGGCAGACAGACCGACCAATAGGCATCATCATCTCTCGCGACTGGCTGCCCCCGTATCGGTGGTTAGGGGGTAGCTCAGATCCTTTCCGACAAAAGTAAAAAATAACCGCGCAGATGGTGTGATTCAATCGGGTATATACATCGGGGGTCCACTCGCAAACGTCGAGAATCTCGACATGCAGGCCCCATTTCGC